TCGATCTGCTAGTCTTTCAAAGCTTAAGCTAGGCAGTCTCGTGTTGTTACTTTATTTTCTTTACAACCACAAACAGCTCACCTTTTCACCTGTCTTCAGGTCAATCACAGTCGATCATCTTGCAAGGTTTTTTGTCAAAATTTATGATAAAGGAACACCCTAATAGATTTATTTGATAATCAATACTACCTGAGTTCGTTGGCCTCCCTGTTAAGGTACAAATTTTAGTCTTTACCATCAATTATCACTCAATCCAAGCCGGAAACAATCCAAATTTCACCATGATAAGCTGTCACTCGTACATAACACTTAACTCCCATACTTTTCAACAAGTTATTCGACTGTTTTTCAAGAATCTGTTTCTCAGCGGAGTGGATCGAAGGTTTAGGAAAAGTCCTGTCAGACATATGCTCTTTGCATGACTTGATCACGTGATCAACTTTCGATTAAAACGAAAACGGTTCACTTTTGAAAGATTTTGTTAGCAAAAACTAAAAGAGCATATTAAAACTAGGTACCTGAGGATTTTCAGCCATATATCTCTTAATTAGCGCTTGCAGCGACCACGGAAAGTTAAAAGCATTTGCATGAGAAAAACAACTTTAGCCACCCAGTCACGCTGACTTAGTTTTCCATACAAAACTTTGTAAATTGTAAAATTTTCAAAATTGTCGTTACATTTTTCTATTACGCTTGTAAGGGCTCAAATTGCCTGTTTTGAATCAAAAGGAGATTTGATCCCAGTAATGCTTGAGGAGATAACCATGTCAGGGTGACTGGGTAGCAGTCTAGCTTACATTCTAACTTTCGGCGGTCGTTGGAAGCGCTGCTTTTGAGACATACAGCTGAAAATTCTCACTTTGCCTAATTTTAATATGTTTTTTCAGCTTGTGCTAACAACATTTATCAAGAGTGAACTGTTTTCGTGTTTACTGAAAGTTGATCACGTGATCAAGTAATCCAAAGAGCCTATTAATTTTTTACCAGATTCTTGAACTCAAGTTGTTGGTATTTGCTGTTAAATTTTGTAAAATTTGAATCCAGAAAACATACTTCTCTCCCCAGGACCTCTCCGAGTGAGTCCTCAGCTGTAACCAGGGCCTCACGGTCTTTTTTGTCAATCCTTCTCCCCAAACCCCTCCCTTGCCTCTTTCTTGACTCAACGTCCGGGACTTTGAATATAGCCCTCTGTCGGTCGAAAGAAGGGCATAACTAGGCATTTACCTGGACACAGCACAAAGAATGCAATTATGAAACATCATGGATATGATGTTATGTTTCTCTTCACAATCTTCATTTTAAGTCTCGCTTGTATAAAGAACGGATCTGCTTTTTCGGGTGAGCATCAGTTTTCCATTTCTTCGCCGATCGAAGTGTAGTTTAACAGTGCATATTTTGAAACTGACCTTTAACTCTCTGAGGCTCCTCGTTCATATTCGAACAATAGGTTAATTAAAACTTATAAAGTTATAGTGAAAAGTTTTAAAACTTTTAGAGAGGTAAAAGCGCTTTATCTGAGACAAAACAGGCGTTTCCTGGCCTTCTTAACAACTTCGGCAATATGATGGTTCCATTTTAAGTCGCTCGAGACATTTACCCCAAGGATCTTAGCATGTGAAGCAATATCAATTTGCTTGTCATGAAAAACAATAGGATCGAGATCGAGAGCGAGTGTCTCCTTTGCACAAAAACAAATCCTCATTTCCTTACACTTCGTCTCGTTTAGCTGGAACTTTCCCGAAGCAGCACGCAAAGCAAAGGCGTCCACAGCGGTTTGGATGTTGCTTGCTTGTCCGTTAGGTATTATTTTAGAGATCGTAGAATCATCAACATACTTCCATAGATCAAAACCTGGGATGTCAATGTCATTGATCATAATTATGAATAGGTAGGGGCCCAATTTGGTGCCTTGGGGGACCCCCACCGGTACATCACGCCACGCTAAAAAGCAATTTTGACCAAGTTTCACTCGCTGCTTCGGCAACACAGGAAGTCAGCAATCCATGAGATGACGGCCTCGTGAATATAAAAAAGGCGAAGCTTTTGGACCAGTATCCCATGATCAATAAGATCAAATGCCTTTTTAAAGTCAAATAATACTGCCCTTACAGTGGCTCCGTTCCCGTCGGTGGCACTATTCCACGCTTGCGTCATACTGATTAGTGCCTCTGTGGTGCTAGACCCTGGGATAGCACCAAACTGCCTTGGATCCACTTTCGCAAGCATAGCAGGTTTTACGTACTGTTCAACCACGAATTCCTCGGCCACTTTTGATAGCACATGATATTGGTATTTAAATTGTTGTCGTTTTCGTCGTTTTAGCGATCACATGTCCAATGTACGTTGCCTTCACCATCCAATGGAACAAGACTCGATTGTCTAAGAAATCCGACAGTCTGTGTTGGGTCAGTCTGTCAGTTTGCATGGAATGCTGACTATGTAGGATACGGTTCCCAAACCAGAAGATGTTAACCAATTGGAACCTGGAGTGGACAAGTGTTTATCTGTCAAAGTAGGTTGATAAGCCATAACAACTTTTGGAGTATTGCACTTTACATATCTCATGTACGTACTTTAGTCATAGACGACTACATGTACCTTGAAATAACAATTCGAAGCAAACTTACTCAACTAATTTTTCCCAGTCAATTTAGATCTTAGACGAATCATGAGTCCTCAATCCTTCGTTATTTTTATCTTATAAGTTATGAGTTGTACGTCACTGGTGGTAAACCCAAAAATTCCACTACGCACGAGCAGCTGTAGTAATCGTTATGGAGCACAATGCAACTTTTATTGTCCTATTTGTTATGGTTTGCTTGGCTCATCTAATTTAAGGTCACGTGTGTTGTTCATGGTTACCAACATCCTTGAGTTTGGAACATTAGTTAACCAACATGCGAGGTTAAATTCAAATTATCTTGAAATTTTTGCAATGAAAATACTCTGGCAATCAATTCAGTTGTTTCTGTTATGTTTCAGCTATCTCGTGTCCAACGTTGCCTTCACCAACAAATGGAACAAGATCTGGATGTTCAAGGAATGCAACTGAGTTTTATGATACAGTCTGTCAGTTCGGGTGCAATGATGGCTGTGTGGGATCTGGTTCCCAAGTTAGACGATGTTAAAAGAATGGAACTTGGAGTGGACAAGAGTTTGTTTGTGAAAGTGTGTCCCATTTCTTAGTAAAGCTTGAAAATAAAACAATACTTATCTTGTTTACCAAACATCACAGAAGACCACATAAAACAAGACTTTAACATTTGAGAATTTTGTTTCTCCTTCTTAACAATGTTGTAAAAAAAAGAGATGAATAGGGAATTTTGAGTGTTTTTATCAACAGTACATCATTTTCTATTTACTAGTTATTAACTGTACATCGCTGACGATCGACCGAGGAGGTCCAATGCACATGAGAAACTGTGGTAATCATTATGGAGAAAAATGTAACTTTTCTTGCCCCAGCATTGCTCGGATCTCCTTTAGCTTGCTGTCTGTTAGATGCTGTACATTCCATAGACAAATTCGAAGATCTTTTTGGCTCCAAGTTTGACCAGGATCAGGCTAAATTTCTACATCATAGCCGGTCAAATGGGTAACACCGAGACAGAGGCATTGAGCATTGGTCGGCAACCGAGGAGAACTCGCGTTAAATTTGAAACGAGTCCATTCTATCCCGTCGCACTGGAGTTTCGTGTTTAATAGTCTTAACTAGTTTTTAAATTAAAACTGTTTAGCAGACGTGTGGAAATTGGAACTAGTCTCCGTAAGAAAAATAAAACATTTCGGGAAATAAACATTTTTAATCCCCCATCCGAATTTTGCAAGCAGTTAAAAACTTAGGGGGAAGCCCAACAATGCCCTTTTTTAAAAATTGCAATACCTCTGTTGCCATGGTAACAACAACTGCGCGTTCGCAACCTGGTGCCTTATTTGTATAAAGAAACAGCCAAAAAACTGTAACATGTTTATTTCTTTAACTCAAGCTCACTGAAACACTACAAATCAGTACTTCTACCATACAAAGAGACATCGTTGGTCTTTACTCTGATGTATTCAATTTTTCCTGAGAGTGAACTGAAACAGACCAATCGTTAACTTATCTCGCTACATAATTTGGATATATCAACAAAGTTGAAATGGTAAATTGGCCACCGTAATGATTACAAAAGCTGACGTTTCGAGCGTTAGCCCTTCGTCGGAGCGAATGTTTCGTCGGAGCGAATGTTTTATCTCGCTACAGTTTCGGTCATTTTTGATGTTACAGTAGGGTAAAATCAGATGTCGTAAAAGTTATTCCAGAATGTTTGATTCTTACAGAGACTAGTTCTTAAGCTTGAATGACAAATCGAAAATTTTTGTTTTAGCTTAATCCAGTTATATATATACGTCGTAGTTAAAGTGAGTTAGTTTTATACGAAAACCATAAGTTAGCAGAGCCTGACGTAAGGTCATTGCGAAATCATGCAAAGGAGTTTTTGTTATTTCCTTCTTTCCAATCAATTCCATTTGAAGTTTTCACCATTGAAAGCAAACTACCCGCAATACGATTTCATTGTCTTTTTTGCAATTCGGATATTTTTCTTTCCCACTGACAACTAAGATTAGAAGCAAAAAAGTTATTTCGTCTACCATTTACCCCACTAGTAATTCATTTAAACTTATTAGTGCATTGAACTTATTCTTTGTTGTCAGAGCCCTTTAGAGATTATTATAATGACTCGATACATCTCTTTTCCGTGGGTTAATGACTTGTCATTAAAGCGAAATATTAATTGGACTAACTATACATCACATTATTGGATTTTCTATTGTTCCCTGTTATGTCCTGTGGAACAAACTTAAATTTACAACGAAAGCAGTATATTGAAGAAGAATTATCTTTCAGACCCTAAGCTGATGATTTATTCCATATTTTTGGATGTGCTTTTTATTTTAGCAATTACCTGTCCAAGGCTTCCTTCACCGTCCAATGGAACAAGATTTGGGTGTCTAGACAGTCCAAGAGTGTACAATGGTTCAGTGTGGCAGTCCGCGTGTAATAATGGTTATGTAGGATCTGGTACTCAGGTTAGAAGATGTCAAGAGAATAGAACTTGGAGCGGACAAGAATTTTTTTGTCAAGGTAAGTTCTTAAGCCTCAACAACTTTGAAACTATTACACTTAGCATATTTCGTGTATTTTTAAAAGTCACAGACGGCCACAATTAGCTTGAAATCATAATTCAAAACAAAATCTGATAACTATATTCTCCCCAATCTTTTGAGATGTGCTGCGTATTCTCAATGTTTTCTTTTTTCAAGAAAAATACTTCATTATTTTTAGTGAACAACTGTACATCACTGATAGTAGACCTACGAGGTTCTCTGCGCATGAGCACAATGTAGCTTTTATTGTCCCATTGGTTATCGCCTGAATGGCTTATCAGTGGTAATGTGTCTTGCTCCTGGTAATCAACATCCGGGATGATGGAACAATGTTTTACCTACGTGTGAAGGTAATACAAATTAAACATCTTCTACTTAGATACTTAGAGCTTTAATACACTGCCCTTTTCATCAATTTTCCCATCTCTGTGAGTGAGTATTGTGGAACAGCGGGGATTAACCTGAACTGATGTAGAAGATTAACGTGTTATGTAAATGAAAAATGACAACTGAAACTCTTAATCAAGCGTTTGCAGCTCTATAAATCGCGAATGAGGTCGTGTAGATATTTTCTTTGGTAAATATGTCGTTTTCCATAGCTGCTTCCCCATTAATTTTCTGTAGACAAAAGAATCAATATTGGCCAGAGTATTTTGCCTAAAATGGTTGGGAATAAATGTTACCTTTTACAGTTGTGACGTGCCCTGCATTGATGTCACCAGCCAATAGCATACGACATGGATGCTCTGGGTATGCAACAGTATACCCTTATAATACAGAGTGTCAGTTCTCTTTCCTTGAGGGTTATAAGCTTATTGGCTCCAGGTTGAGAAAATGTCAAGACTGCGGGCTTTGGAGCGGAAGGGAATCATATTGCGAGAGTAAGTATAAAAATTTTATAGAAAACTTTTCATTCTAAGACGCATTGATTAGTTTTTTTTAATGGACTGAACTATTCTCATTTAGCCAAGGGTCTGCTTTCGTAATTCAAAGCGAAATATGCCGCCTAAATTTTTATTCTAAGCGTCAACTAGGTTGCAGAACAACTCTGCCCTTGGTAACTGATATTTTAAGTACTATTTCTTTGATATTCGACAGTTGACCAATTCATAGAGTGATTTGAAAGTTGCTATGTAAAACTCACTTAAAACTCAATACCTTCTGTCTCAAGTACTTTCCTCTCACAAACCAGACCACACAAATTTGCACTCATGTGCACACGTTTCTGGGTACCCCTTTTCTTGAAAAGGTGACTGCAAAGATTTAAGAAGAGGTTTATTTGGAACCTCTTCAGGCGCTTTCTGGTAAAAACCCTGTTTACCCTAGAAAAATATTATTATTGTTAGATACTCTTGTGTGGGGAAACGTAATCACTCTAAGATTGAAATACCTTTGGCTACAGCCTCTTTGTAAGCACCCAGACCAAAGAAAAATATATAACCGCCACCAGTGACAGCTATTCCTAAGTTTATTGTTTTTCGATCTGTGCGAGTCTCTTCAACGTCCTCCCAATGAAAGAAGGAATGCTTCTTGGAACAATTTACCAGACAAAATTTAATTGCTTACCTGACCTCCGAATGAGGCTTTAATCTGATTGGGTTGGGAATTTGGGGGCGTAGTAATGATGGCTCGTGTACAGGCACGTAGACTCGATGTGATGGCACACTAAAGCTAATGCATCGTAACTCAGAGAAATAAAACAAGACAAAAGGAACTGAAACAAACTAACTTTATGAAGTTTGATTAATAGTTTTAGGTAAGATATCTTATTAGCGCCAATTTATTACGCCTGATTAATTTTTTACACTCGTCTGCACTTCATCAATGCCTTGGAATGAGAAATCCCTTAAATCATGTCGTGTTTTGTTAAAATGTACCGCTACTTCACAGGTCTTTTTCGTTGTGACCATAGCAGACTTATGGTCGCGAAATCTAACTCTAAAGTCATTTGTTGTGGTCAAAACCCATAAGGCAGGGAACCCACTTGGGCTCATCACGTCTTGTTGCGGCACGGCAATAGAAAATCTCTCGGCCTTTACTAAATTTTACGTGCAACCATTGGCTCGTAAATTACTATCGTTCATCAAAGACACCACAGATCTGCTCAACAAGATTGAGGAGCTTAATTGGAATGGCCCTTTTCCCGAAGGCACTCTATTGGTCTCACGGGTGTACAGTGAAGGAGGCACTGAATGCCAAAGAAAATAAGCTTCCATCTACTAATTGCATTTTAGAAAGGGTAAAAATTTGTATGAAGAGCAATCATTCGGTTTTTAAAGAAACTTTATTTTACAGGTTCGTGGCACAGCCATGGGCCCTAAGAACGCCTGCAGTTATGCAGATCTTGCCATGGGTGAAATAGATTTTTAGGCTAAGTTTTCTGGCCCCATAAAGCCGGCTTTGTGGTGGCCATACTGTGATGACGTCTTTGATCACTGGCAACAAGGCTTTCTGGCACTACATGAGTTTACTGAATTTATAAACTCTTTATACCCCACCAAAAAAATCGAATTAGTTTTTTCTGAACGAGAGCTCCATGTGCTCAGTAGATCTAACTCTACATCTTATCGAGGGTTTTATTCGGACAGACGTTTATACAAAGCCAACTGATAGTCATCTGTATCTCCCACTATCAATTGCTCATCCTAAACACGTTTTCCAAGCTATTCCTTATAGCGTGGCGACGAGGTTACAAAATAAAGAAACCTCTCTGTAGAAGCTCTTCTTGCCCAAAGAATATCTGAATACAAAGGTTACCTGGCTAATCAACGTTACCCTCCTAAATTAGTAGATGATCAGTTTCGTAAGTCGCATCATTAGAAAACATCTAGGTAATTTGGAATTCAATCCCAAGTTAAAAGAGCTCTTTCCTTCAAATTCCGTCGAAGTATCCTTTCGCAGATCTAAAAATCTTAAAGAATTGTTGGCGCCTTCTCGTTATGGCCCTAACATCGAATACGAAGGGGCCGCTGATGTTAAGGGATGTTTTAAATGTAATAGAACAAGATACGATCTTTGTCGCAACTTTTCGTTGAATCTTCCTTTTTAAGTTTTCAAACAGGCAAAAGTTACAAGGTACGATCGAAACTTTCCTGTGGTTCTAAGAACATCATTTATTTGGCTTCCTGCAAGAAACGTCGCCTACAATACATTGGTTTCGCAACAAATGAATTAACTGCAGTTAGATTTCGCAACCATAAGTCTGCTATGGTCACTAAGAAAAAGACCTGTGAGGTAGGGGTAGATTTCAACAAAACACCAAATGATTTAAGTGATTTCTCATTCCAATGCGTTGATCAAGTGCAGACGACCGTAAAAAATTCAGGTAATATCGAGAAACTTTCAATTACTAAAATTAATGGGAGGGTTATAAAATAAACAAACCCCGTTCTGGCTCGCTGGTATGTCGGCTGATGATTTGAGTCAAAAACATCAAGTATGTAGTTTGCTCCAAACATCGAAAGTACGTAGAACAAATTGAGAAGTCTTTCAAAGACAACCCAAAACAATTTTGGAGCTACCACAAAGTGTTTCTAGGAGGTCGATCTGGCACAACGGTGTGACAGCGGTGTGACAGCGGTGTGACAACGGTGTGACAACGGTGTGACAGCTAAGGAACCTGCTCAGAAAGCAGAACTTTTTAATGAATATTTCTGTTCTGTTTTCCTTCCCGCAGCCTCTATTGTAAATAGGGCTGAGATTAACATATCACCAAAAACTTCTATGGAAATTCCGCAAATAGAAGTATCAGTTGAAGAGGTGAGAGATTACTTGACTGGACTAGACACCTCAAAAGCATGTGGTCCCGACGGCATTCCAGCTCGACTACTAAAACAATGCAGTCAACAAATAGCTCCGAGTCTCTGCGCTATTTTTAACGTCTCTCTTAGCAGCAGCAGAATTCCAAGAGAATGCAAGTCGGCAGATATAACACCCATCCACAAGAAAGAATGGGAAGAGCCAGTTGATAATTACCGACCCATATCGCTTCTCCCGATTGTAAGCAAAGTTTTGGAACGTTGTTCATTCAAGACCATGTACAATCACATTAAGAACTTCATCACAAAATTCCAACACGGATTTCTCAAGAACCGATCATGCGTTAAACAGCTATTGTCAGTATTGCACACTATCGGACAACAGGTTGATCAGAACACTCAGACAGATGTTGTTTACTTCGACTTCGCCAAAGCCTTCGATACGGTAGATCATCAGATCTTACTGGCTAAGCTGGGGGCATCCGTCGCGACTGGGAGGCTACATTCATGGTTAACTGACTATCTTGGTGGACGGATGCAGAGAGTAGTTATCGAGGGTGGAGCATCACAGTGGGCACCAGTCATCTCCGGTGTCCCCCAAGGAAGCCTCCTGGGTCCTTTATTGTTTACCATCTTTATCAGTGATCTCCCAGAAGAAACTGTGGATGCTGTTATGGTCGCATTATATGCTAACGATACGAAATTGTATCGCAGCATCAAATCAATGGGTGACTGCATTTCCTTACAGACCACGCTTACCAACCTCGACGAGTGGTCTCAGCGTAATAACATCTGTTTTAACACCAGCAAGTACAAAATCCTAACCGTGACCCATAAAAAGAAGCCCCTAACATACAACTATCACCTCAACCAAGTTCAGCTTAAGCGTGTCACCAATGAGAAAGATGTCGAGGTTACTCTGACAAGTACCCTCTCTTGGGACCATAATGTTCACATCATCGTCAGCAAGGCCAACAGACTCCTTGGGCTTCTGAAACGCACGTGCCCCCTACTGACTGATCTGTCAGTCAGGCGCACACTCTATCTGGCACTTGTGAAGTGGCAGCTGTCCTATGCAACGCAAGTTTGGTCCCCGTCGCAAGTATCCCTTAAAACTGAGATTGAACTGAGTGCAGAGGAGAGCGACGAGATGGATCTTATAAACTCCTGTTGTCTTAAAACACCGTTATGTAAGACTAGCACCTATCAGTCGTCCTACTTTAACAGAATTGTTAAGCTCTGGAACTACATAAGTAAAATATCGGCGCCTTCAAATTTTTCTACCCCAGAATCCTTCAAGAATCTTATTATGTCTCATCTTATGTACTTACTTCGGACCTCTTTTGATGCAGGTTACACCTGTACCTGGACCTTGATCAGAACCTGCCCCTGCCAGCGTTAACTATTGTATTTCCTTTTTTTTTTTTTTACAAAATTGTCTTTTTTACTCATTTATTAATTTATTTATTTACTTTTTAATATAGGGGAGTGCCTTGCATGGGACCTCGCGTCCCGTTCGCACCCCCATTTGGGTCTTTGTAATAGTGTACTAAGTCCTACTGTTGTGTGTTTTTTTTTTCTTTTCTTTTTTTTATTTATTTATTTTATTTTTTAGAAGTCAAACCCAATAAAGTTGTTCAAATGAAATGAAATGAAAAAGCTTCTCTGCCAAATATTCATTATTCGGACAATCTCTCAGCCGCGGACATTATCAGCCGACATACCAGCCGCCCGAAGGGGTTTATTTACTAAATATCAACCCGGAAGGGCTTCTGTTAATCCCCCTAACCTCCTTGTATAGCGAAGGGGATGTCGCATGGTTTTTAGCTTGTATTTCTGAGGGTTGATTAATAGTAGCGGCCATCATGAGGGTGAAAGATAATATATTGTTTTAATGTTTGCAGTCTTGAAATTATCTAGTGTTTCCGAATATGAACAAATATATCGTGTACACGTATTTCACGTTGCTGGATAAACGCTACCCAGGCAATATACCTTTCATGTTTCTCATGTCTCAAAATAAGAAATTGTCTAGCGTGACCAGACTGTTGTTAACTTTTATCCGTTTCGTGGCGAAATTCATCGTAAGACTTGCCATAAAATTGCAGAATGCCCGAAGTCTCGTCCTGTGATATCGCCGGTCGACTCGCTTTGCCGCCATTGCTGGAGACATTAGGGAACTTAAGCAATGACGACGGCAACGCCACGGAAGACGTCGATAAAAAAATGAGTTTCCACTTTTAGTTAGAATTTCGAAAATGGCTGCATGTGTTTACCGTCTCATAGGGCGCCAGACCTAAAACTTAACATAACGCGTAAAAGTAGCGTTGAGTTCCAAATGTAAATTAAAATAATTTGCCGCCGCGGTTTCGCCTCACAGGCGACGCAGATTTTGGTGATTTCACGTTGTTGTTTTGCAAAGGACGGCTAAGAAATGTACAAAGTTTTAAAACGCACGTGCTGGGCTACTATTCTGCCAATTAGATCAATTGTTTTTCCACGTTCTCGTTACCGTCGCCGTCGTGGTTTGCTTAAGTTCCCTGTTAGAATCGTTGGCGCTAAGTCTGAGCGAATTCTGAAACTCTTCAAAATTTTTCTTTATGGAAGCAATTCCGAATTTGAGGCTCTCATTTTATTTTTTAGGCGAATTATCAGACGGATTAGACATAGTTAGAGGGAAAAAATTGCATTAACGCGGAACGATCAAATATTCGTCCGCGCACCTCGCTCGCACATTATCAATATCCTCATCTATAACTTTCTTCGGTACAAGGTACAGTGCTGTTAAATAAAACCTCGGCTGGCTGCGGAAAGTTGTACATACTATGCAGCTATGTCATTTTTTGATTTTGAAAAACCAATAAAGGCATTTTTTGCAAAAACAGATTCTTTCACGAACTGAGTTTTCATTGCGCACCGAAAAATACTGGGATGATAAGACCTAGCCTCTGAGGACATTTGACCTGAATCGCTTTTACCAGGTTACTTGAAATAAGAAAGACGTATAATGATTTGAAAATGAAACTCCTTCTATTATTACCTTTGCAATTGTCTTAGTCTCTACGCTACAACAGTGCCCAGAGGAACAAACAAATTCTACTTAAGCAAAAGAACACACTTTTTCGGGCTCTATAACGTGATAAGCCACGTGTGATTCTGGGAGAACATGATGCGAGCTTATAAATCACGAGCCGAAAGCAGATGATTTACAAGTTTTCAGAGTGTTCTACCAACATCCCAAGTAGCTTTAACAGTTATAGAGCTCGGAAAAAAATGCGTTCTATTACTTCCATGACATGACTAGTTACATGCGGGTTCTATAACCCAATAAAGCATCGCCTGGAAACTGAATTGACCAATCAGACGATGCCTACTACATTCATTATGTTATAAAATAAAATAGAAACAGTTTAATACAGATTAAGTCATCAATTGTTAATCCAATTAGGGGAAACCAATGCAGCAAACAAAGTAATAAATTAATACAATAACAATGAACTCTAGTCATCACAATTTTTTTTCACCGATTACCAATACCAAATGCTTAATTGAAAGCGATTGTCGTCAAATGGTCCCCGAGTTGCATACAATGTCATCTGAATGTGTTAACCAGGACTTTTTTATAGTAAGCTGCTGTGCTTTTTTTCCCATAGCTATGGGACATCCATGCCATTCTCCATGTCTTTTGGCTGCAGCTCATGGGCGCATATTGGCGTTTGATTGCGGTAACAAGAGTAGTTTTTCAATCGTTTTCAATTTGTCAAGTCCTGCAGCTATAGACGTTCATTACGGCTTTGGCCTCATATTTTGGAGTGATCTGACGGAACGTAACATCAAGCGCTCGAATATGGACGGCACAAACATAACAGTTATCCACGATGACACCAAAAGTTATGGACTCGCAGTGGAGTGGTCTTCATTGCTATTGTACTGGACTGATAATTCAAAACATACGATATTAGTGTCAGACTTCGAGGGAAATAACATACGAACTGTCATTTCGAGGTTCCCAGCCTTTTTCCCAGCGGGAATTGTTCTCGACCCACACGAGGGGTAAGAGATTGATCTGTGAAAAATGACTCAAATGAATAACAACCCGGAGTGAAATCTTGGTCACTATATAATTAAGGGAAGGGCTCAGGGGAAAATGTTCGGAAATATGCGATCGGCTTAATCCTTCTTTTATCCTTTAACGGCGTATCGAGAAACTGTAAAGTAAACGTATGGATTGTTGGGGTGGGAATTGTTTTGTTCACTTCTTGCCACTTAAACCGGGAAGAGCCTTGGTGTGATAAAATCCTCAGTGATCAAAAATTACCGAGGAAAGACTTTTGCAAATTTCTAGCAAAACTATTCAAATCCAGTATCATCTCTTTTGTTTGTCTGTATTGTTTTCTCTCCCTGCTTTTATTTTCCGCTGTCAGCACAAATTAAAATCGTGCTTTTGCACCATTGGGAGTTAGTGCTCTGTAAATAATGTATATTATTATTATTATTATTATTATTATTATTATATCTTATCGAGCAAAATGGGTAAGAATCATAATAAGAGATGTTCTATATTAGTGTTTCTGAACGCCGTGTCACTTTAGATCGCTAGTTTTGCACTACTGTGCATCGTAAACGAGTGAGCACTCAGAAAACGTTCACTAATCATTCTCTCCACAGCGTAATGTTTTGGACTCAGAGGTTGTGGGGAAATGTCCTGAGATCAACTATGTACGGAGCGCAGGCTGAGCTGCTGGTGAGATCAAATCTTTCTGACCCATTTGGCATCACCCTTGATAGACAAAACAAACTTGTTTTCTGGATGGACGAGGTCACTGGCGCTATAGAATCTTCTGATTACGATGGAAACAACAGAAGATCACTCTTTGAATTAAAGAGGCGTCTCTTTTTTAGTTATATTGGGATTTTCTTTAGCTGGTCATATTTATTTGTTACAGACATTGATGGAAATGGTTACAAAGTGGATACTTTCAAAGGAACGGTGGAAAGTCATTTTTACATGAACACTACCCACACTTTTGGAATAGTCGTTTTTAACAGCTCCTTGCAGTTACCAGGTTTGTAATACATTTTCAAAAGCTCATACACCGACAGATATAAGGTAGAGGGATTGGTAAAGGTACAATCTTAAACCGAGAAACCCTAAATCGTTCTGACTTTTAGAACGCAATCAATAGCCAGAAGTTGTGAATTCTTTTACTCGGTGATAACTAAAGACTTTCTCCGCAGTGTTAAACCGAAAACTAGCATAAGCGAGGGATTTTGAATCAATTGTTTGGGTTTAAAGTATGCATAGACACTTTCCTTAGAAGTTAACACAAAATCTCTAAAATATTCTAGTTGATTCGACATGTCGCATCCTGTGCGAAAGGGATGGGGCTGAGACCAACAAATTTTCCTTACCATCCATACCCCATATTTGTTTCCGCTGATCACTTCTTGGTAGAGACGAAATCCAGGTCAGTAATCACAGTTTCGTTTCTCCTTAGCTGTATTGATTACGTGTCCAGTGTTGCCTACACCGTCCAACGGAGCAAAGTTTGGATGTCATTGGAATATAATGTATCGTGGTACAGAGTGCCACTTCTTGTGTAATTATGGCTACATAGGATCTGGTTCTAATGTAAGAAGATGTCAACGCAATGGAATTTGGACAGGACAGGAGTTTTCTTGTCAAGGTGGGTTTTCCTAGCAAAGTAGATTATAATGCCTTCTGTATACAGCGGAAAAAAAAGGCTACGGACCACTTGTAAATTGATATACAGTTTTAAAGGGCTTCGAACATTAAGCGCATCTCGCAATTTGCTTTTCCCGAAAAAGTGAAATCTCCGATGTATATTGAGTATTTTAGGTCAAGGCGTCGAGCCATAGATGGGCTAAATAATTTGGGTCGATTAAATGATAAATAATAAGAATTGCGGTCTTAACAGTGACGTCGATATCGGTAAACGGTAACGCGTTTAAATCCTTTCAGATAAGGAGCATAGACTGTAGGCTCTGCATGCAGTCCACTACCGTCATAATCACCCACGGGGAGTAGCGCGGGGTGAACACTTTATACAGGTTCCACAGAATAGAGGTATTATAAGCAACGATCAAAAAACGCCTTTTTATGCCACAAGTGATCACTCAGTTTAAAACCCGCTCCAAAATACAACGAACATTGATTTCGGGAGAGACACATGGATGAAAAGTTTTTTGAAATTTTTCTCCGATGGTGTGATTTCCGATCAGTGTCATGTTCAAGTGAGTAAAGGGGATAGTTTCTAAAGAAACTGTGGTGCTGCGTTGGTGGGGGTAACAATATTATTTGCTTTTATTAATTGAGATGGCAATGTAAATTGGCCATCGTGAGGGGTTTTAAAGCTGTCGTCTCGAGCTTTAGCCTTTCGTCAGAGCGAGACTTTATTTAGTTCTTATTAACCGAGCGGGAGGTCTGTATGGGAGAATCTTGACCGAGGTCACCAGTACAGACCGAACGCATTGAGGTCTGTACCAGCGACCGAGGTCAAGATTCTCCCATACAGACCGACCTAGCTCGGTTAATAAGATGTTTATTATATGGCTGTGTCTTATATGCCAATTTTTCATATTCTTTGTACCTTTTTTTTCTAGACCGGTCTAGATGCCGGTCTAGATGGGAAAATCTAGACCGTTTTCAATGTTGATTTCAGCCAATCAAATTCGCTAATTGGTAGTTCCCAGTCCTCGTGAGACAGCCAAATAATAACTTCTTCTAATTTGCTGTTCTGCTTTCTCTTAGAACTTGGACGACCTACTTGCAATTCCCCATGTCTTTTGGTTTCCAGTTATGACCGCATATTTGCTTTGGAGTTCGGTAACAAGTTGAGTTATATAGTCGTTTCAAATTTAACTGTACCTCTTGCTTTAGACTTTCATTACAACTTGGGCTACATTTTTTGGAGCGATGCCGAACGAAACATCAAACGCTCGAATATAAACGGCACAAGTATAAAAGCTATTCACAATAACGCATGTACAAGAGTCTGTGGGGATCTAGCAGTTGAGTGGAATTCATTGCAACTGTACTGGACTGATCTCACAAATGGTACCATATCGGTATCAGACCTCGAGGGAAATAACAAGAGCATTGTCTGGTTTTTAAAAGGTGGAAGTCCAAAAGGAATGTCCCTTGACCCATACGAGGGGTAAGTAGCACTCGTCAATAAGGAGAAATTCTTTAAATATTCTTTGCGGTAAGAACCAAGCATTAAAGTGGAATTAGTGAGGGAAAAAAAGGGCTTTTCACTTACCTTCCTTTGGAATGTAGAAGGAGATGCTTCATGTAATATGTAGTATGTTTTTCTTATCCCCGAAGATCACACCTGAATTACAAGTTAAATTTAATGGTATTCGAGGGGAGGAATTCGAAGTTTGTGATCAGGAGCGGCCCTTATCGGATTACAGACTACAGGGAAGCTTGAATTGAACGAGCCATCTAGGGTCATTATTAAAGAGTTCATAGAGGATCCAAACCTTTCTAAACTCAAACTTTCAAAGAGAGAGTTTTTTATACGCTGATCGAAATCCAGCGTCAAGCAACTGGGCTCACAGCACTCGACCTAAAGTTACACTGAGTTTTATAAATAGTTTGACATGGCCGGAAACCATTTTCCAGGACACAGACTTTGTTTTACTTTATTGACTTTAATTTATTGTGGAATATAACGTGAAAATTTTAGGATAAAGTATGAGAATCACTTTACAAGCATATCTACTTTAGTATGCGCCCTCTGTGTTAATGCAGCCAGCTCCATTTAGTTATCAGCGAACATCCTGTGTACGGACGGAGTAAACTGTGCGTCTCCGTTGAGTAGAAGATTCAACGTAGCAGAGTGATCAAGAAATGTAGGCGTGGAGGGGATTGTCTAGTAGGGGCTTGATATTGTTAAAGTGAATTATAAAAGTATGCCAGATTGTTTTCTTTTAATAGATAACCCTATTTTGGCGACAATGTAGGAGTCTGATGCACCAAGGATTGCCCAATGCCGCTCCATTTAGACCATGCAAATAAAATTTGAAAAGAGCATATTTATTGGGTCTCACTCTCAGGAAAGTTTAAGCTCAAATAATTTAGGTGCTCTGCTCGACAGATTGATGTTTTGGACTGACTGGGGGAGCCCGCCGAAAATCGAGAAATCAACTTTAAATGGCAAGGAGCGTTCCGCCATAGTGACGACCAATGTTAAGGAGCCATGTGGTATCACTCTTGATCGACGAAACAAGTTAATTTTCTGGGTGGACGTTAGAATATACGTAGTAGAGTCAGTTGATTACAGTGGAAACAATAGAAAACTTCTCGTTCAGCGAGGAGGAATGTATTTTTATGGAGTGACTTTTACCTCGTCCTATTTGTTCTTCAATGAGCGGCTCAAAAAAACAGTTTTCCAAGTAGATGCCTATAATGGAACGGTTGTAGGTATTGTAACAACCGGGGGTTTTTTATCAGGTGGAATCGTCGCATTTGACAGCTTGTTGCAGTTACCAGGTTTGTAATACAATTTTGCAAACCACGCTGAGAGATAGGTAGTACAGGAAAAAGGTAGTGGAGTATTAATTGGAATGCTTAAAAGTCACACGAGTTTAGATGCTAGGAGGGTAATGATCAGTTCCAACAGCAAGCACGAAGTTGAAAGCGTTTTCTCTCAGTAGGTGTGACAGCTTCCCAGTCCGTATCGCTAACTTTGAAATGTCGATGATAATTTCTTGGAAGTTAGTTTCGTATCTCACCCCAAATGAGTCTCATCTGCAATCATCATTTCGGTATAAACAACAGCAGTTCCAGATACTTTTGTTACAGTTTCTTTTCTTTTTCATTGCAGAGTTCGTGTGTCCAGCGTTGCCTGCGCCAACTAATGGTGCAATACTTGAATGCTCGGGCAATGCATCATTTTATTATGATACAGTCTGTCGATTTATGTGTAATAATGGCTATGTAGGATCTGGTTCTCGAGTGAGAAGATGCCAACAGGATGGAACTTGGAGCGGACAAGAGTTTATTTGTCAAAGTAAGTAGCAACATATTAACTTTCCGATGAAACTTTGTATGATAATTTAGGAGTGAAGATCATACTTCAATATTCAATATTTTTGTAAATCATCTTCTGGTTACTGTCATTGTCACTGTTACTGTCACTCTCACTGACACGGTCACAATCACTGTCACTGTCATTGTCACTGGCACTGTCGCTCTCAGTGTCAGTGTCACTGTCACTGTCACCGTCACTGTCACTGCCAATGTCGCCACTGCTGTCACTGTCACAGTCGCTGTTACTAACGCCGTCGCTATCACTGTCACTGTCATTGCCACTGTCACTCTCACTGTTATTTTTATCGTCACCGTCACCGTCACCGTCACCTTCCCCGTCCCCGTCCCCGTCCCCTTCCCTGTCCCCGTCCCCGTCCCCATCCCCGTCTAGAAGAAGCCTTGTGTCAGTGTCACTGTCACTATCCTTGTCACTGCTGTCACCGTCACTATCCTTGCCTTTGTCACTATCATTACAAATATACCGGTATTTATTATTGTCATGCAATATCATCGTCATTGCTATCATCATTGCAATTAGCGTGTCCATAATGTTCGCTTAGTAAAGTATATTCTATACAGGGCTAAAAGATTAGGAAAAAATTAAAATGTTTGAACCAAACGTTTTCTGCTGTTTGCCATCATCAGGGTTGAAAATAGTGACCGTCTGCACATACATATCTATCTTATGTAATTCCCGATGGGAAAATTTTCTTATCAACTATCATTGATCACATTTTCAGTTATAAAAGCAATATGAACGTCACGTAAACTATCATTTTGTTTTCTGTAGAGCTCTCCGGTGTCCGCTGCCGACTAATGGTATACCTTTGGAATGTAACTCTACAAGAACGACACAGGTGTTATATGACGCAGAATGAAGGATCTCTTGCATAGAGGGGCCTGGGGTGATTGGATCAACAGTAAGGAGATGTAACGCAAATGGAAAATGGAATGGAACAGACCACGTCTGCAAAAGTATAAGAACTGCGAACATATATTATAATCAGTTGAAATAATCGTTGTGATTCTTCAGGTATTGTGGTCAGTTACACTGTCGATGCCGCAAATAGATGCTGCGCATGTGCCTAGTAATAGATCGTAAATGACGTCAAAATGTTGTAAGGAAATAATGTGCCACGTGTGTCCAATAGAACAAAGCTTGGATGTCCAGGGAATACAACAGTTTATGTTTTCTCTTTCTTTTACTATTTTGTCCATCATATATAATGCATTTGTCACAGCGACTATATGTTGATCTATAACTACCTGTTCATCACATGAGATGGTCTGAGACCCGGGGATGTTCGAAAGAGCCCTCTAAGGAAGATCTCCACATCTCCACATCGCAGTTAAAACCAACTTAGAGAAAATGAACAGATGTAAATTATTCCATACGAGTGGTCGTCTGTAAAAATCGAGCAGAGGTGTTGAAAATGAAAAAATAGAAATTTTTCAAACTTTGCCAGAACATACTAGGTATGAATGGCCTTAGTTACGGAAAAATATAAAAAATGCCGAAAAAAATTCTTTTGGGAGAACGGAGGCGTTTGGCGTTTTAGGGGTTCATAACCGTGTTTTCCCGGTGAAATAGTGCACCTCAAGATAACGGCCCAAAAAATTTACTTCGCCAGCAATTCGGAAACCACGTGAAAATTCTAAAATAAGAGATGTTTATCAAAGGTTCTTAAGTATTTTTTCCAAGATTCCTTAAAAAAACGATTTTTTACGAATTTTCTAATACAGGTAAAAGTTCACCCATCAAAACATAGCTCAACTTTGGCGACTAAAATTGGCCATTGTTACATGGCTCCATAAACTGAGACAATAACCATTGTCAAGAACAAGGTTTCTTCTTTTAGAAACTGCAATAATATGTTTGGACTACTTAAACTGCGAATTTTGAGAGCGATTTATAGAAGCGTATTTGAGATCAAGAAGCGCGTTACGTGACCAACGTGACTTGCATGTCACATTAAGAAAAACATTATCGGAACACTCGAATTCCCTCTTATATCATACAAAAACTTCGAAACAGGTCTCCTTCATAACAGGTCTCCTTCATATTCATTATACATATAATTTTCTCCTGAAGTAAAGAAGTCAAGGCAATCTGGGCGATTTTCGATAGTCTAGTATATGCAAATTGCTGGTTTATATTATTACCGACGGCCATATTCGCAACTAATACAAACCCATCAATAACAAAAACTTTATTAACATCAAAAGGAATTGCCCAGGCTATAATTACACAAAATGTTACCCTTAGAAGTGGTTTCCATGCTAAGAGTACGCATGTTAGCGCGCACCACTGTTTTCAAAATTTATCCATGCAACCATTTCTCGCCACTGCAGTGCGATCTGTGGTATGTGATTGCGTTACACACTGGAAGCCCATTTAGTGAGAATGACACAAAAGATGACCAACGTTTTTGACAGAACAAGGTTGGTCTTCATAAAATCCTATCGATCTAAAGCATGTTATGTAAACGTGAGGTTTTCGCTGCCAATTTTTTTTATAACAAAGCTATAAAGGGATAATGACATATTGTAGCCGTGTATGACGCATAAGCACCTATATATTGTACTTTTCTCTGTCAAGACAGTTGAATAACGTTGGTGTCTCTCTATTCCACGAGTCCTTACTTTCTGTATGCGAAGACCATGGTTACTTCTAGCTGGAAAGTTTCTATTTCTTTGCACGTACACGACTTTATCACTTCATTGATCAGACCAATGTATGGCACTTTTCGTGTTGCAGGAAGGGAATCAATTTCCAAGTGGAAATATGTGCATATATCTTGAAGGAAAGAAATACTGAAACGAGTAAGCGTCTTCGTGGCATAAAGTCGCTTTTGAGATATCGCTTGCCTTCTTTGAAGACTTTTTCTAGTCGTTTTGCTGTTGGATCATCAATTCCATGAGTGGTCAGAGATTCAGCAATGCTCGCCATGTCTTCCACTACTCAAGTTTAGTCCCCTCCGCCGATAGATAATCAAGTCCTTGAAGAGACTGTCTTACTGTTGCTGAACACGATACCAGGGTGCGTTGCATGCTTGATGCACTGAAGGGCTTGAAGTTAGTCTCCAAACAGTACTGCTGGCACTGATCGATGACGCGCTCGTTCACCATCGTTTGTATAACATTTGGGGTTTCAAGGATTTTGCCACCTGATAAATACAAATAACGCTGCCCAAAAAGCAAGTCCTGGATTACATGAGGTCTCGCGAGGAAAGACAAAAAATGATCTAACTGGGAATAGTCTATTCGCATCGTTGTACTTCTTGCAGTGGGCAGGGGTACTCCACGACGATACTTCTTAATATGGTGTCTTGCGGGTGTAACTCTATCGCGGGGTATGCCTGGTAGATACTCTTGAAGCTTCGAAAATGGAACCAATTCTACCATTATGGACAGCACTTGCCTACGTGTTTCCCAACCAATAGCATGTTCATATGTTTCTGCTAGAGCTCTTAGATAGATCGTTTCACTTTGATCGGCGTTTTCTACAGACAGTGCGTCATCAACCAGCCTGGCATTCTTCACTGCTTCCCATAAAGCACAAGTATCCCCAGGAGCAATGACCTCCAGTACTGCAACAATGGACTTGCTTGCTTTTGATATGTGTTCCTTTTGGCTCTGTGCTTTCAACTGGCTAAAAGTTTTCTTAGATTGCATGATGCTATCGACTCAACAATCAGAGAGGAACTGGTTGAGTCTGCTACGTTGTGAACGGAAGTCTTTTTCTTCTTCTTGATTTCACTCCTCACTGCATATACCTCATACCTCTAGTACAAGAATCTGGTGAGTGCTCACTTGTAATTGTTAGGTTATCCATTCTTTAACACAACGAGCTATTACTTGATTGGCAACCCTGAATAAAGACACAGACCAGTATTGTTGGGTTACCTCAACCATTTTATCAACCTATCATTTTATTATAGTTTTCTTAACGTGATTAAAGTGAATAATTACCGAGATAAACAAATAATTGTTTTTGTTATGATCCGGGTCGAATCTTTTATGCGTTGTCAAAGAAACGCGCGAATGGGGGAATAACTGTCAAATATTCCATTCTTTCGAACAACCAGCGCACTTTTACAATTACTCGTTTAATGATAATTAATAACAATCGTCACTTATGACGGTCGTAATGACGTATCATTTCGGTTATACAGCCAATACTTGTATCCAAAGAAATTTCCATTGACTGATCTCCTTTGGTTACAGAACTATCCAATCATGATTCAACTAAAAACCTTGTCGTGGTATTCTCTTCTGTATGGCTTGTCTCGTGAGTAAACGAGTTATTCGTTGCAACTCTACCAAGCTCAAGCCGGTATCTTTTACATCAAATTACAGCTACATGAATTTTTAGGCAATCACGGTGGCGGTCAGGATGGAATTCTGATGTATACTCACGTGACCCCACCGGAACAATTGTAGATGTTAAGGCATAAAGCTTTTCAGACTGTTGCAGAGTCATGCCTCGATCACCTTTCCACGAAGACTTCCCATGTGGAGCCCAATCCGATGGACAGGAGCAGTTTTTTTTTATTGCATAGCCGTCTAGTTCCGCAGTCGTCTCTATGCCTGGAACAAATTGAAATTTCTTTATGGCTTTCCTCGACGTCAGATATACCTGGAAAAGCGAAGTCGTTTACTTGTTCACTCAGAAGGATAAAAATACAAAGCAAAACAAACAAGCAAACCACACAAACACAAACACGAACGCACAAACACACACACACAAACGAAAACATAAAACAACGAACAAACGAAAATTTCAAATCATGGAAATTTACCTTTGATTAGAAGGTGTGCAATTCAATGCAAGCCCCGGCCCTTCCCCATCCCATTTCGTAAATTGATGCAAATATAATGGAGATAATTTCCAATGTATATAATATATATAATATATATATATAAACTTATTAAATAAATGAATGAATGGATAAATAAATAAGTAAATAAATGAAGGAATGAAAGGTTGTGAATAACTAAATTGTAGGCATAAACCAATGCTTTATATTTCATGACAACATATACTGCTAACTGGCATCCTGTTGTGTTGGATTCAAGCGTTTATGTGGATTCAAGAAATAAATCTTAAAGCAAAGATCCAGGGCATTGAACCGTATCACGATATGACCTCATTGATCTTAGTGCAAACTATAAAAGCAGGACAAAGACGGATACAGTATTTGCCTTGGCTAAACATTCTTGACATTTTGGATAATGAGATATTTACCTGCTCTGGCGAGAAGAAGAATGAACTCACTTTCCAGCTGAGAATCATGGCATTTATATGTTTTAAGATGACCTTGGATGTCTCTTTTGCAGTTAGTTATTGACTATGCATTTACTTTCTCCACTGGTCTTGCGGGAAATACAAGAACCACCAACGAGTTCGGAGTGGCTGCATGCAGCCATTTTAGCAAACGAAGTAATTTCAAACAATGGCAAGCATGAAAGAGGGACGTGAAGATAAACATTCTCACTCTCATGGGCTTCCTGTGTGTAACGCAATCACATACCTCCGATCGCACTGCGGTCGCGGGAAATGCTAGCGCGGACAAGTTTTGAAAACGGTGGTGTGGGCTAACGTGCATACTCTTGGTATGGAAACCACTTCTAAAGGTGACATTTTGTGTAATTATAGCATGGGAAATTCCATTTGATGTTAACAAACTTTTTGTTATTGTTGGGTTGGTATCAGTTGCGAATATTGCCGTTGTAATAACATAAACCTGCAATTTGCATATACTAGACTATCGAAAATTGCTCAGATTGCCTTGAATTTTTGGCTTCAGGAGAAAATTATAGGTATATTTAATATGAAGGAGACTTGTATCGAAGTTTTTGTATGATATAAGAGGGAATTCGAGTGTTCCGATAATGTTTTTCTTAATGTGACATACAAGTCACGTTGGTCACGTAACGCGAATCTTGAGCTCAAATGCGCTTATATAAATCGTTCTTAAAATTCGTAGTTTAGGTAGCCCAAAAATTTTATTGCAGTTTCTAAAAGAAGAAACCTTGTTCTTGACAATGGTTATTGTCTTAGTTTATGGAGCCATGTAACAATGGCCGATTTTAGTCGCCAAAGTTGAGCTATGTTTTGATGGGTGAACTTTTACCTGAATTAGAAAATTCGTAAAAAAAGCATTTTTTAGGGAATCGTGGAAAAATTACTTCAGAACCTTTGAAAAATATCTCCTGTTTTAGAATTTTTAAGTGGTTTCCGAATTGCTAGCGAAATAAATTTTTTTCGGCCGTTATCTTGACGTGTACTATTTCACCGGGAAAACACGGTTATGAACCCCTAAAACACAAAATGCCACCGTTATCCCAAAATAATTTTTTCGGCATTTTTTTATATTTTTCGGTATTTAAGGTCACTGATACCTATGTTCTGGCAAAGTTTGAAAAAATTTCAATTTTTTTATTTTCAACACCTCTGCTCGATTTTTACAGACGGCTACTCTTAAGTCTTAAGAACTGATGGATGAATCTTTTAAGCGAAAACACTCTCTAATATAACTCGTCTTTATGATTTTTTATTTCGTTAATGTCGTTGAGCTTAGATATTGCAAACATACTCAAACTAGTACTTGACTAAGAACAACTTACATCAGCTAAGAGATTTGAAATGGTTCGTTCATGATGTTCATTCATTCATTATTTTGTTTTGCCATTATCAGAAAAAAATTAACCGAATACCAAATTTATGAAACATCAAAGATAAAAAGAACTGTTCTGACTAAATTAACTTCAAAATCAAAGGAACTGAAGAGGTAACAGCAAGGAAGCCTATTAGAAGCCGGGGGCTTATAAAGTATAGGCTTCCTTAAACTATAGGATAAACCATAC